AGGGTGGTCGCATTGTCATCGAAAGCCTCAGCAAGTAGCGCCCTACGGGCTATCCTCATGCTGGTGTTTAACTATTGAGCCTCAACAGCAGCTTGGTGGACTATAAGGCATAACAACTCCGCAGTCTCGAAAAACACCAGACTAAGCATCCCGTCTGTAGGGAGTGGAGTGGGCCGAAACTCTAAGCCGGTAATGATGGTGAAGTCAAGAGGGGTGATGGTCATCTCACCCCATGGAATGTGAAAAGTGTTCGTGGTGTCCTAGAAAAACTCACGACACCCCGAACAATATGACGGCTTTCCCGCCATGGATGAACAACCATAGCGACCCGCAGAAGTGGAGTCAACCCGCAAGACTCCCAGAAAGCTCTCATCGCGTCATTTCCCTTAATGTAATGGCGATAGATGTATGAAATGCTATCGTTGCCTAAGCTGTGACAACGAACGTGCTCATTGGTAATACCCAGTAGGGCGCGCTGAGAAATATGAAAGGCTGGTTGAAAGAACAAGGTGTGCTCGTCCCACTCAAGGAACGACCATCCCCGGCTAGTAGAAGCGTCGTCGCCGTCACCGACGGGCTCGTCCTCTCTGTGGGACGAGCGGGAATGTGAGCTGGATCCTCGACGACGAGCCATACTATTATTGACATACAAAAACAGTAAATTAATGGTTCTATAGTATCTAAGTTCTCCTAGCCGCATGATATTATGTTTGTCAAAACATAGTACAAAGTACAAAAACAGAGTATGATTTGGATTCGTACAACAACAAGAATTTTGAGCACCAAAACAATTTCTTGCAAGTTTATGGTAAATATTGCCAAATTAAGCACAAATAGCAAGAAAAATCATGAAGAACAATCCACATTGTCCTCACGAACTTAGAGTGTTCAATAATAGAAAAAATGCTCATTTCTTAACCAAATTGAGTAATTCAGTCTCAAATTACTCACAAAGCAATATACAAAAATATACAAACAATTTCAAGGCAAGAAATTCAATGAAACTTGAGTAATTAGCAAAGACACATTTGAATTTTCCGGAAATTCGTGAAGGACATGCTAAAAAATCATCCCAGATAAGAAGAGTTTGAGAAAAACTTACATGGATAGGTAAACTAGGATGAGAGTGCACCGATTTGCAAAAGATTTGAGCAAATTTGGTTGAGAATGGCCATAAACGAGCATTTCGAAGTTTCGAGCGAAAACGAAGAACACGAACAACAACAGCGAATGAGGAAGAAGAAAGGATTTAAATCCGGAAAAAAGCAAAAATATCGCGCAACGATGACAGTATCGCGACGCGATGAGACCTGGAGTTGCGCGATCCTTCTTCTCCTTCAAGCGATGGACTTTGTGGGTCCCATAAATGGATTATGTGGACTACATTTAAAGGTTTGAGCTCTTTGGTACGCCATTTAGCTTCTAAGCAATTGATTTGATTAGTAGTCGGCCTGATGACGATCGTTTCAATGACTTAAGCGCCTAAACATTGGCTCATTACAAGGCACAAGCGTCTAAGCATCGGCTTGTAACACTTAAACACGCCGAAGCATTGGCAGAGCATATTGCACCTAAATATTGGTTAAGCACCTAAACATTGGTTAAGTCCACCTAAGCACTGGAGGAGCGCATATTTACCATACCGACGCATTGGCATTGGCGAGATTTGGGGATCGCTAATCATTGAGGTCTTCGACAGCTTTCCCTAGGGTGTGGAGGTTGTTGGTATTAATTGGTCACGTCGAAGCAACGGCGAGATTTTGGAGATGACGACACACTATGGTCTTCGACGATGTCCCGAAGCATGGAGGAGATTGTCAACAGCGGCGAAACATTTCCGTGGCGAAGCACGGCCACAACGATGACAATAGCGGCGAAGCACTGCCATGGCAATAGGGCTGGAAAACCCTAACCCGACCCGATAACACGACCTGAATTCGACCCGAAGTTACTAAGAGAAACCCGAACCCGACCGAAACGAACTCGAACAACCCGAATTCAACCCGATTTGACCCAAATTTCATATTTCTTAATAATATTAAGTTTTACACTATTTTTGATAGTTTCTAAGCATAACACAAAATCGACCTTAAATCTGACCTGAACCCGACCTGCTAACCCGAATTGCCACCCCTACATGGCAAGGCACTGCCATAAAATTGAAGATGGCGGAGCACGGTCACCTTCGACGATGTACCCTAGGGTGTGGAAGATTATCACTACAAATGAAGATGGCGAAGCATTGTTACCTTCGATGGTGTTCACAAAGCATTGTGGAGGTTGTCAAATAAAGCATAAGATGTAACCTAGAGGTGTATACCCGACGGTGCAAGATACGCGTTTCTAACTCACGTATTTATAGAACTGATGTTTTCTGCAGGTATCGGTGTTTAAAAGAAAGATTTAGGGTTGCAGAATGTTCTGAATCATTCTCCGTCCCAATCGATACTTTGAAATTCATTTTCGAAACTTAAATTTCTCCAAACTCAGTCAAAGCGAGGGCTTATGTAAACACCTGATTGTGTCTCCCCAAAAACCAAACCCAATGATGAGTACCTTTCACGTTTTTCACTATCGAGTTAGGTGAAAAGTTGAAGAGTCTCGTGAATTTTCCTAAGTCTTGACTACTTCTAATCTTTTTTAAAAATGTTTTAACTCAAAATGATTCATTTCGTGTCTCTTAAAATCATTCATTTCGTGTCATCTTTATAAAAACGTCCAAACCGGTTAATTTTGGTCCATAATCTGGGTCCAATAATTATGTAGTTGGATGAGGCTTGAAAATAACTTTCCAACGATATATTATAAGCCCAAATCCGAGTTATAACGAGAAAGTTATGGCAAAAATATTAAACTAGGCCCAAACCGAGTCTTGCCTACGGACCCAATGATCATGTGGAGGGTCCATTAACCTTAATTCATTCCTAATCCTATTAGGATTTATTACAAGTTTCTAGAATTATCTAGAGGGTTGTTCTGAGTCCTAAATCTCTTAGGATTTATTATTAGCTTATAGAATCCTCTAGAAGTTTATAATTTATCCTGTTTTAGAATAGATTAAATTTAAGGATTTTACTTCGGATAAAACACTTGTTTTTTAATAGGTTTAATTCTTATAAAACTAGAATACGTACGGAAATTCAATTAACCAAATTTGATTGGAAGTCGGATTCCGTTCGGATTCTATCTTTCAAAAAATAGCTGGCGTTTCGCAATACGAGCAGTTTTACTCCGAATCGAATTATGACTCTTTTTCTGATCTGTTCCCATCGTTTTTTCCTATAAATAGGGTCGTTTTCCTTCATTTTCATTCACCAACAATCATCATCTTAATCCCTTTCTAATCTATAAGCTTCTTTTCTCTCTCTCTTTCTTAGCCCTAGGCTAAACACATCACACCATACGACCTTTGCGAGACTTGAATACTCCAAGACCTTCTCGTAGTTGCCTTTGACCTTGACGTGAAAGGTTGATATTTCTGAGGGTTTGGTCCCTAATCTATATTTCAATTATTATTTGATTTATTTGGTTTGTTTGGTTTAATCTTTCTTAAAGTTTACTAACGTGTTTAATGTTTTGATAGAAAGAGATACAAGGCATCAAAGTGAGTAATTCGATTACTTAATTATTCTTTTGGTATAGAAATCATGCTTAGGATGTTATTTTGATTTCTAGTATCATGTTATGATTCTTTGTAATTCCTAGTATCATGTTTAGGGTGTTAATTAATATTTCTTATATCATGCTTTCTAGTATCATGTTTAGGCTAAAGTTTTGATCTTTATTATTTAGTGACATGCTAGGGTTTGTTATTAATCCGTTTAGTATCATGCCTAGGATCTTGCTATTAATCATGATTTAATGATTATTTGATTATGATGATGATTGTTGTGTCAATTAATTATTATGTTGCTTGATTTAATGTTATTGCTCAATCACGCCCTTTCTTGCAGGTTTAAAGGGGATTTGTACTTGAAATCACGCCTAATAAGATAATTAATAATTTGATTCAGGCTAATATGATTTTAATTCATTTGATCGCCAATAATAGATTTATTTGTGCATTAATAATCAACCAACGTAGATTAAGCGAGTTTAGAATTAATTTGTTGTATGTATGTTGATCGGAAAGCGCACATAAATATCATAAGAATTAATTAGAGGCCGATTTAGGGCGAGTTCAATCTCTTTTAGATTGGCTTCGTACCATCATCCCTGAATATCCAGTCATAGTTCCGAACCACTATGGAGTTAGCGATCTTCGTGATCGTGAATGGGGTGTAACCTTCACACCCGTGAACGGTTTACAAGTTCCTAAAACTTGTTGGCGACTCTTTTATCTCTAGATTCTTTCCCTTTGGACGCCACCATGCTTAAGTGCATAATCACAGTGAGGCTCAAAGTTGACGTTTGAAATATTCCCTACAATAATCAAATTACACCAGTTCGATGATGTCTTCAAGAATTTCCTAAACTAACTAGTTTTATGCAAATCTTGAAATCATAGTTTTATAAGTGAATGATAATAACTATCGATTATTATTATCATTACTAAAACCAATTTTGCAACTTAAGCATGAGCCATAAGAACAATTTCATGCCATTATCAAAGTTCAAAATTTTGATCCCAATTTTAGTGCATAATTGTCGTTCAACACTTCAATTTACATTAAAAATTTACGAGTATAGTTCATACACTAGTAGAAAAATAAATTACGCAGCGCACTTTTCGCACCGGTTCTTGAAAACCGGTGGGAAAAGAAATGGGAGGAATCCGGATAAATCGGTGCAAAATCATCTTTTTCGCACCGGTTCAAACTGGTGCGAATTACGAAATATTAAAAAAAAAGGGTGGAAGGTATTTCGCACCGGTTCAGACCAAACTGGTGCGAAATAGTGTTTTAGCACCGGTTCTAACCGTTGCGAAATTAAAAAAAATCGGGCTGTTATATCTCTCTAATCCGCCTCTCTATATCATTCTCTCCCTCTCTGGTCCTGCTCTCCTTCTCTCTCATCTCTGGTTCTGCCCTGCTCTCATTCTCTCTCATCTTTTGTTCTGCTCTCATCTCTCCTTCCTCTTTCGTTCCCATCTCGTTCTGCTCTCATCTCTCGTGTGAGGTCTTCGATTTTCGTTCGAATCTTGTTCGAGTTAAAGCAAGTGGTGAACGATTAGAGAGACAGTTAGACCGGCGACACCGTCACCTGCAGCGCTTTCGACCAATACACCGTCACCTTTAACGGCTTCCGGTACCGACGCTTCAAAGGTTTTTTTTTTCCCTGTTAAAGCTTACAAAACCCTAATGTAAATCTCTCTTTCGCTCAATTTTTTCCCCAATTACAAGTAAGTTTCTTCTCTTTTTCGCTTAATTCATCTTTATATTCTCTTATGCTGTATTTTTTGTTGATTTTCTTATAGATTTAGTTGAAATTTGTTGTATTACGTTGTGTTTTTTTTTTTTTTTTTTTTTTTTTTTTTTTTTTTTTTTTTTTATTTTTAATCTCCGTTTTTTTGCTCATTTTTTTCCCCAATTTTAAGTAATGTTTTTGCTAACCTTGGCTGTGTTTGTGGGTTCTTTGATTTTGGAACTTTACTCGTTATTTTGGGTTCACTGTTTCTTTTTTTCTTTTTCTTTTTTTATTCAATAACTTTGCTATGAATCTGAGTTTGTTTTGTTAAATAATTAGTTTAATACATTATAATTGGCCTATGAACAAGTTGAGTTGCACTATATTCATACTGATGAAAATTTGTATGCATTAGTCAATTTTTTCAAGCATTGGATTTGAGTTTCAATTTTGTTAAATGAAGCTGATAAAGAATTGTTGCTTATATAACTTTGTCTTTTTCATATGAAATACTAGAGTGTATCATGGTTTGAAAGGAAATAGAATATGAGGCTGGTAAATATTATCATATCTTAATATTATAATTACATGTTTAGAAATTCTAACAGTATATTGCATGGGAATGAGTAGGTGACATGTGTACTTGCTCTAAAATGTCAATTGCAGGCTTTAGGTTTTGCTGAGTTTTCAAAAGGGGTTTGACAAGTCTGTGAAGTTGGGAAACATTACGCAAAAAATCTAATGTTCTGTATTATCATAGTATTAATTTAGAGTATATATCTTCTAGAGTGGTTTGAAGCCACATCCTATACAAGTTTAGCAGATAATTTTTAAGGTTGGTTATATATATTTTTCAATATGCTATGAGTTCCGTGCCCTTCTGTCTGGTGTTTTTGCTTTTTAATCTACTGAATGTTTTTATTTTTCTATAGTTGTATAGAAAGGCGTAGTTGGGTTCTGGATCAAGTGATTTGTTGTATTGTGGTCCTTGAGAAAGACTTCTAGTTGCCTGCAAATAATTAGCAATTGTGACCTTTGTACATAGTGCTACCTTTAATGTGAGCCTTTAATTAATCTGTGTCATGATTCAAGCTACATATTGGCAACTTTATGGATTTGTTCAGACATATACATTGACATCACTAGTTTGAGTTAATCAGTTAAGCATCTCTCTTGAGGGGCTTTCTATTATCTTAAGTGGATTTTATTGATAACAATTGTTCTTTTTAGTTTTTCATTAGAATTTCTCATCTTCAGTATATAAGATTGTCTAATTGATACATTCTGAAACATTAGGTTTAGGTGGTATTTCTTTTTTTGTTGGTTGAGGTGGAGAATAGCAACATTTGCTGATATTTGAAACTTTCCTTCCACCCATTGTCGATCATAATTTTTTGTTTTGGTTTTTCCTGAAAAGCTCTAATTCTTTATTAAATGTAGTTCACTTGAGTGGTTGAGTCATCAACATTTAGAGGATGTCTGAAATACATCGGGTGTATAGGTTATGAAATATATTACGATCAATGGTTGTCTTTGGTTCAGGTTTGTTCAGGACATCTATAGGGTAGAGGGCAGGGAAGAAGACAGGAATGTGATTTCCCGAATTCCTCTCTTGATACCTAAGGTGATCTTAGTCCTGATTGAAGTATATGAACCTTGTATAGTTTTATCTATATTCGGGAAAAACCCTAATCTGCTTTACGCATATATGATGCCATTTTCAGGTGCCTCAACAAAGGGATGATGAGGAATGTGGAAGCTACGTTCTCTATTTCATCAACTTATTTATGCAATTTGCTCCAGAAAACTTTTGTGATTCTTATTACCCATACTTTGTATGTACATGAATCTTAATTCCTTCATTCTTTACTGCACGTATTTCATTCTATCTGAAAGGAATATTAAGATATTTGGCAAAACATATTTTTGGCTGCACCAGGATTCTGGATAACAATAAATTTGAAGGAAGCATCCCATCAGCAATAGGTCTAGTGAATGAAATGGAGGTGCTGTAAGTATCCTATTTCATGTTTCCAGAAGATTACATTAACAAACAAAGACTATTGAGATTTGAGAAGTAGCTGTGTTTACCATTGACTTTTTGCTCTTTAACTTTGATGTTTATCAGAAGATTGGATTGGAATTCGTTCAGTGGGTCTGTCCCTTCAAACATTTCCAATCTTACTGAAGTTACCAAAATGTAAGTAATAAAGTCTCTTTACTTGTGGACTTTGTTCTACCTGAATTATCAGCGTAATTCATACATGAATCTGTTTTTTTTTTTAGGCTTTTATCTAACAACCAATTCACGGGCTCTATGCCTGACCTTACTGGCATGAACCAACTCAGTTACTTGTAAGTTAATGATCATGCTGTACTTGAGATCTATAACTCGATGATTAACCATGACAAATTTTATTAATTTGTGTGCAGGGACATGAGCAACAATAGTTTTGATACTTCAGATGTTCCATCATGGTTCACAACCTTGCCGTCGTTGATTACTTTGTAAATTTCTTGACTTCCCTTTTACACAAAAGGATTAACTTAATAATTTTGTATTGAATGAAATCAGATAGAATATTCCTTTGTAATGTAATTTTATCGTCATACTGGAGATGCGAAAAGACTGGTTTGATCTTGAAAACTTAGAGTATTTCCGCAACAACCTTGAGAAGGAACTGTCTAGTAAAGTAGCTGCTAAAAGCACACAACAAACTTGAAAAGTCAAATATTCAGATAGGCTTGTTTCTCTGTTAAAAGCACACTCTTTCATCTCTTGGCTGGCTGTTCAAGGAAGGCTTAGAACAAGAGATAGGCTTGTTTCTCTGGGATGCTGTGAGGATGCAAGTTGTCTGCTTTGTGGTGAGGCAAATGAGACTCATGAGCATTTATTTTTTGATTGTTCTTATAGTAGAATCTGTATTAAGGCTGTTGGTTCATGGCTAGGCATCAATGAGAGGTATTTTAGACTTGACAGATCGTGGAAGCATTGACAGAGACATAGTTGATGCTCCTGTGTAGCTGTTTCTGTTCTGTTGATGTTAGCTATGAGGCTGTGTCTGCTCAGCTGGTTGTCCTGTTCAGCTATTAGATGCTAGTTCTTTTATCTTAATTACTGCAGGGTTGGTTTTCCTGTCTGTGTTGCTGTGAGCTGCTGTTTCTGCTACAGTGCTGTGTCTGCTATGCTGTGATGTCGAGTTTTCCTGTGTTGATGTGATGCACTGCTGTGTTGGTGTTGCTGTCTGCTTCCTTTTGCAGTGCTGTGTTGCTGGAATTTGGGGTGCTGTGATGCTGAGTTGATGTGCTTGCTGTGCTGCTTTGGTGTTGCCCTGTGTTTTGTTATTTTTGTAGCCTGTTGAGCTGCTTAGTTTGGGCAGCTTAGTTCGATGTTTGCTGTTTATATGCTTCATTAGAACAGGTTTTTGGAGTATTAGAAGTAAATTTCTATAACTTTATATATATATTAGTGTTTATATATCAATTTAAGTGAAAAAAATGCATAAAAAACAAAAAAAAAGAAAGAGATTTAATTTTTTTTGGGCATTTTTGGCACCGGTTTTGGAATAGAACCGGGGTCCTAAAAGTTTTTTTCTAAATTTTTTGGGGACTTTTGGCACCGGTTCTAAGTCAAAACCGGTGCAAAAAGTGTGGTTTTTCGCATCGGTTCTCAACCAGAACCGGTGTGCGAAATGCATGGGGTTTTAGCACCCCCCAAATAAGGACCGGTTCAAAACCGGTGCTAAATGAGGGTTTTGAACCGGTGCGGATTACGTGTTTTCGCCTAGTGATATGAGCAAAGAAAAAAACAAAAGAGAAATAAGTTCAAGCACAAATTCTGAAATCAAATGACTTAGTACTTGACCACTTCTCATGAAATTTATTGCAATATATTCTTTAAACATGTCACAACGACATAGAATAAACAAATTCATGAAAATCTAATCTAATACACCCAATTTCAAAAATTAGGGTTCTTCTTTCGATTTTCCCCATTTTGTTGACCAAATTCAAAATTTGGTACAATGAACAAGGACCAAGATTTACTTTCCTTAGCTTTAATCGATAGCGAAAATGAAGCTCTAGAGAAAGAGACCAAAATGGCGAATGACGCAGAAGAGCACGACCCGTGGATCATGTTTCTACAGAATTGTTCGTTGTTTATGTAGGGTTTCTTAGTGACCCGACACTACACGGAAGGAAACCCACCAAGACCCGCCCCTTATTTAAAACAATTAACAAGCATATTAAACTTAATCAAACAAGATTAAGAATAAGAATTATACCTTTGTGGCGTGCTTCGCTCCCAAAGAGCTCTTACTTCAAAATCCCGAAAACATGAAATCTCCGACGGATCGTACCCTCAACCCGACCCGAGCGTCCTAAGTCTTGAAAGTTAGTCAAGACCCGGACAAAATAACTATGAGTTTTACGAATCAAAGGTTTACTCTTACTTAGAGTTGCCTTTTTAATTGCACTCAAGGCTGTTCATTTCCCAATACCCAAGCATGGTATGTATAGGGAAATGAACCCTTGGTTTTTCATCCTCCACCAATGTGGGAGTGTTGAAAATCAATGATTTATTTAATTTCCAAATTCAATAAATAATCAAGTTAATCACATTTCGACAAGTGGCATGATCACATGCAAAAGAGTGGTGGCCAAGGTTAGGTGGGGGACCATATGCCTTGCTCCCCAAGGCCTTGATTTGGTCCCCACACCCTTACAAAAAACCAGCTCAAGGAGGACTAGCTGGCTGCCAGCTAGCGTGCCAGCTAGGGCTGCCAGCTAGCAGTGCCTTGCTGCCCAGCACCCTAGCCAGCCAGCCAGTGCGTGCTACTGCTGGGCTGGTGCTGGAGCTTGTGTGCTGGCGTTGGGCGCTGCTAGCACATAGTGCTGGCAGTGGCCCCCAGCAGCCCACGCACAGGCTAGCACGCACACTTTCCTTGCACGCCATTGCTAGCACAGCCAGCATGCGTGGTGCTAGAGTGCCACGCATGCTGGCCCTACCCTAGCATCATCCAACGCACCACGCACGCAGCACGCTACGCACCACGCAATGCTCGCACATGCATCAGCCAGTGCCTAGCACTGCTATGCTTGGTGCGAGGCACGCATACTCACACATGCACATGCGCCAGTGCCTAGCACTGCGACGGTTGTGCTTGGTGTGTGTGTGGCCTTGCCATACGCACCCAAGCACCCAGGCTAGCACGCTGCTAGCTGCGATGGGCTGCCTAGTGCTTGTGGTGCTTGCGATAGGCTGCCATGCGCACCCAGGCTAGCACGCTGCTAGCTGCGATGGGCTGCCTGGTGCTTGTGGTGCTTGCGATAGGCTGCGATAGTGCCTAGACATGATGTTAGGGCTGCGATAGGCCACCATGGCGCGCCTAGGTTGCGATGGTGCACCTAGGCTGCGATGGTGCGCCTAGCACATCTAGCGTGCTTAGGCTTGCGCTTAGCCATGCTAGGTGCATGCTAGCTTGAACTAGCCTAGCATCCACATGGTTAGACCATTCTGGTGCTACGGCTACATTTATACTTGTCGCTTTGTGATTTTGCGACGCTCGGTCTCGACGCCCTAGGCTCGATATCCGACGTCTGTATTCGTAAAACTCTGTCGACTCATTAAATCATTTCAGTTTAATTCGTCGTCTCGGATCGGTGATTCGATTGGGTTCGACCCGAAGGGTTTAGTTAAGATTAAGTTGTAACATCAATTGTAAATTGATATTACTGATCGAATTCGGCCTCCACTTAGGCATTCCGATCACTTGACCGTACTGAAGAATTAGCTACGTAATAATTCTGAACCCTTTATCGGAAGAATACACTTGTTGGAAGGACACCATTCCTTTCAATCTCCCACTTTTCCTTCCGGACAAGTGTGCATACAGTGTATAGCCCATTTCCTATGTCACTTAATGTTTCTTCGTGAACTATAAGGTAAGATTCTGTGTCATCCTTATTACGTTCAGAAGTGTTTCTCGATCTCCGAGTTCGACTGTCAATAAGCAGATGATTTCTAAAATCCATCTAAGCACGACCATGCATTTTCACAGTCTCGCTCTTCGAGCGGGCTTGTAAACAACAAAACATTTTCCTTATTGTTAGTAGGGGGACAATCCCAGTCTTGTATTGTAAGTTCCTTTTACTAAGATGACATAGTCTCCTGAGTGTTCCCGTTATGATCCCCAGTTACGGCAGACGTTAGGAAACATCAAAGATTCTAGTAATCAAACAAAAAAACTTCACAATGCTCATGGTCGGAGGAAACAAGTTCCGATAGTCATAATGAGAAATGTACTTATGACAAAATTCAAAATTTCTTAAAGTACTCTCATAGGTCTTATCCTAACAGTTCCAAACTGTGCCTGTGCAAATGATTTATGACCGTCACGTCCTCGCAACACAAGAAACGGTGCTGTAAATCATACTACACACTAATCTATGGCGGTCATCAATCGTCCATCTGTTAGATGACCTCGATTAGGGACAATTTTCGGTTTAAATATTCAATGTTCATTTAACAGGTGTTTCTTTATCCAAGACATGGTCTTGATACCCTGTTTTGAATATTTCCGTAAATCAAATGGACTCATTATTTAATTCTAAACCACAATTAAATAGTAATGGAGTGCATGATAATTTTGCACAAAAATTAATTACTCCATTAATGAATGGTTTTAATACAGTGTCTTACATTAAATATCCTATTTAATTAAAACACATGTATAGGGAATTTTAAATCCAATCTCCAACATGCTTGATTCCCATCGCCTCAATGTGCTTGTTGTGTTTCACTTGAGACAGGGGTTTAGTCAAAGGATCGGCTACATTATCATCTGTGCCAATCTTACAAATTCTGATTTCACCTTCGGATTTCCATTCCCTTATCATGTGAAATCGCCTTTGCATGTGTTTGACCTTCTGGTGCTCTCTCGGCTCCCAGGCCTGAGCGATAGCTCCATTGTTATCACAATAGAGGTCTATCGGCCCCTTGATTGAGGGTACAACACCAAGTTCGCTAATGAAATTGCGAATCCAAACAGCTTCCTTGGAAGCTTCTGAAGCGGCCAAGTACTCGGCTTCAGTTGTAGAGTATGCAGTGGTGCTCTGCTTGGCACTCTTCCAGCTAAACGCTCCTCCATTCAGACAGAATATGTACCCCGATTGTGACTTGAAGTCTTCTCTGTCAGTCTGGAAGCTAGCGTCGGTGTAACCTTCAACAACCAGTTCTTTGTGGCCTTCATACACCAGGAATTTATCCTTGTTCCTTTTCAGGTACTTAAGGATGTTCTTGGCCGCAATCCAATGCGCCTCTCCTGGGTTCGATTGGTATCGACTCGTTGCACTCAGGGCATATGATACATCTGGCCTTGTACATATCATGGCATACATGATCGATCCGATTAGCGAAGCATATGGGATCTGATTCATTCTTTCTCGCTCAATAGGTGTCTGTGGACACTGTTTCTTGCTGAGAGTTATGCCATGGGACATGGGTAAATGCCCTCTTTTGGCATTCTCCATGTGGAATCGAGCCAGTACCTTATCAATGTAAGTACTCTGGCTTAATCCAATCATCCTCTTAGATCTATCCCTTTAGATCTTGATGCCCGATATGTACTGTGCCCCTCCTAAGTCCTTCATTGAAAAGCACTTTCCCAACCAGCCCTTTACGGACTCCAACAATTTTGTGCTGTTTCCAATGAGAAGTATGTCATCGACATACAGAACTAGGAAAGAAATATCACTCCTACTGACCTTCTTGTACACACAAGATTCATCTGGATTCTTGATAAAACCAAACTTGCTAATGGTTTCATCAAATCGCAGATTCCAACTTCTATTGGCTTGCTTTAGTCCATAAATGGACTTCTTCAGCTTGCAAACCTTTCCAGCGTTGCCTGGATCGACAAAACCTTCTGGCTATGTCATATACACAGTTTCTTCCGAAATTCCATTAAGGAAGGCGGTTTTGACATCCATTTTCCATATTTAATAATCGTAATATGCAGCAATCGCTAGGATGATCCGGACGGATTTAGCATTGCAACTGGTGAAAAGGTTTCATCATAGTCAATCCCGTGGACTTGTCTATAACCTTTTGCCACCAGTCTAGCTTTGTATATTGATACATTTCCATCCTTGTCTGTCTTCACTTTGAAGATCCATTTGCAACCAATGGGTGTATAACCCTCGGGCAAATTCACCAAGTCCCAGACTTGATTTTCAGACATGGAGTCCATCTCGGATTTCATGGCCTCTTGCCATTTTGCAGAGTCGGGGCTCGTCATAGCTTGCTTGTATGTCGCCGGCTCATCACCATCCATGACCAGGATGTCCTGATCATCGGTTAAGACGATACCGAGGTATTTGTCTAGTTGAGATCTTTGCCGTTGCGACCTACGCAGGGTAATCGGTTGAGCATTTTCATTGTCAGTTTGATTCTGACCAATCTTCTTAGATGCTTCC